GCTTATTTTTCCACAGGACGCTTTTCTCATGGCACACCTGTTGGCACCCCCAGTTCTGCAGAGCCCATTTGTGAAGCTGGTCCGTGGAAAGAGCACTAGGCTTGGGATGAACTTCATCCAAGTCCATGTGGCTCCTTTGGAACCACCTCTTCCAGTATAAAAAGAATGGATAGACCTGAATTTTTTATTCAGAACTGTGAATGGATCTGACTTCTTAGTTGACTAAAATTAAAAACAAACAAACAAACAAAAAACCAGGGCCTACTGAGAGGAACTGGGAGTTTATTCAAGAATAAGGAGGCAACACTGAATAGCCATGAGGTCCTTTACCAACAAACAGACCTGGGTTCAGACTCCAACACTCTGACCTTCCCCAGGTACATCATAGGTTCTAAGTTACAAATGGAGTTCATGATGACATTTCTGCAGTAGGCCTTAGGAGAAAGTGACATGAGATTGTGCATGAATCCCATTCACCCTTTACCTGACCCTTAGGGAATAGAGCTGTGACATATTGTCCTGCAGAAGGGAGATAGGAACACTTTGAAACTGAAGTGGAATCTATTCGAAACTTCACTTTGCTTACACCAGGCTCATCCCTTCCATACCCTTATGTTCCCAGGGTCTGCAGTCCCTAGAATTCCCAGAGTCACAGGGGCACTCTCCCATCTGCTCTCAGTTCTGTGCTCCTAGCAAATCTGGACAGAACACAGATCCTTTCCTCCATCACAGAATCATGCAGGGGCAATGTTTGTGTAACAAACATAAAAGATGCTGGGTTAAAGGCAGAGCAATACAGAATTGCCTAAATCTTGAGGGACATAAAGGACATCTCTGTTTTTTTGTTTTTGTTTTTTGTTTTTTACAAGAGAGCCCTACTCCCATCACAGCCTAATTCCCTCTGGCCTCCCACTGAGATGCTGTGCTGGAGTTACCCTCTAGGGCTTTTCCTCAGTTTTATTCTATTTCTGAATGTCTTCCAACCCCACCCATCCCTGCTTATTTCCTCTACAGAAGAGATTAACTAGCTCTTTGTTTTCTATTCCCAACTGTTCACCTCTGTGTCCACCCAGGTGTTTTTCCAGACAAAGAGCCTTGTACTCAAGAGGAATGTCTACCTTAGGGGAAGATGCAGCTGCAGCCTGTTATGATTTTAAATATTAGCCCCTCCCCCAGTTATAATTATAATTACTACTGAAACATGCTCAGGAGAGATGTGGCACAATCGGACAAGCATGTTGGAGGGATCATTTTGGTGAATATTTAGAGGATGCAATGGAGAAGAAAGGGTCAGACCATTGGCTAGGAAACCAGTCAGAATGGCTTTCTCAACAAACAAGGCAAGCAAGATTGGGACTGAACAGGACAGGGCAGTGAGGATGGAAACAGGGACTTAACATGAGAGATCTTTATGAAATAGGATCAGTGGACTTAACAATAGATTGAATAATATCTGGGGCAGGAGTTCATGTAGTGAGAGGCAGGGAGGACCAAGGATCAATCTGAATGTTTGGTCTGGGAAAAAGTGATAAGGATGGTGTTGTTCTGATAGATATAGAACAACGGCAATATTTTGGGGGTGGTTGGGGATTGAACCCAGAACGTGCTAAGCACACACTGAGCTCCAGCTCCAATAATAGCCATATGAATGCTCACTGGCCATATACACTGCATCAAATCATTTGTTGAACATGGTAATATGTCAGGCACTCTGAGTGTTTGACATGTGTCTTAGCCTATTTTGTGATGCTATAACAATACCAGAAACTGGGTAATTTATAATAAAAAGAAAATTATTGAATCACAGTTCTGGAGGGAAATCCAAGATTGAGGGGCTGGCCTTCTTGCTCTGTCATCCCATGGTGAAGGGACAAAGAGATGGCAAGAGAGATGAAAGGAGACTGAACCTATCCTTTATAAAGAAACCACTTCTGCAACAGTGGCAATAATTCACTCATAAGGATGAAGCCCTCACAACCCAAACCTCCCATTATACCCATCTGCCAACACCACCACATTGGGGATCAAGTATCCTACACATAAAAACCACAGCAACGTGTATCATGAGATAAAATGAGACCATTTAATCCTATCAAGAATTGTATCATCACCCAACTTTTCAGATGAAAATGCAGTAACTTTCCCAAGGTTTCACAGACAACAAAAATATATTGTACAAGTTTAGGTATTAAAATATGGATTCCAGTTTGGGATACAATGAATTCGAGGCTCCTGTGGAACATCCTGATAGAAATGCCCCATGGTAGATGGAAATGTAGGTCTGAACTTAGCAGAGAAAACTGTTCTAGAGAAACTGTCATCTCGACAGGGGTTGCAGGGAAGGCCAGGGGAATCAGGATGTAAGTTAGTTAGCTCCTCATCACTGTGACCAAAGTTCCCAACAAGAACAATTTAGAGGGGGAAAGGAAGGTCAGCAGAATAAAATAGACATTATTATTGCTATATGTATATACGTGACTGCATGACCAATGTGATTCTGCAACCTATACCCTCAGAAAAATGAGAAATTATACCCCATCTGATTCAAATGTATGACGTCAAGATCATTGTACTGTCATGTGTATCTAATTAAAACAAATTAGAAAAAAAAAGTTCATACACACACACACACACACACACACACACACACACAAGGAACAATTTAGAGCTGGGAGCTGTGATGCACACCTGTAATCCCAGCATTTCAGGAGGTGGAGGCAGGAGGATCACAAGTTCAAAGCCAGTCTCTGCAATTTAGCAAGGCATTAAGCAACTCAGTGAGACCCTGTCTCAAAACAAAAAGTAAAAAGGGCTGGGAATGTAGCTCGGTGGTAAAAAAGAAGGAGGAGGAGGAGGAGGAGTAGCAAGAGGAAGAAGAAAAAGAAGGAGGAGGAGGAGGAAGAGGAGTAATAGCAGTAGCAGCAGCAAGAGTGGCCTATTGTACCAGCAACTTAGGAGGCTGAAGGAGAAGGATCACAAATTTAAGGCTAGCTTGGAAAACTTGGTGAGACCCTAAGCAATTTAGCAAGTCTCTGTCTCAAATTAAAAATCAAAGGCCTGGGGATGGGGCTCAATAGTAGAGCCCCCTTCGTTTCAAGCTCCAGTACCACCAAAAAGAGAAAAGAAAAAATAAAAAGCCTGGTGTGAGAGTAAAGAGGGGGGAGGGAGGGGAGAATAAGAGAGGAATAGCCCGATAGGGGTAGGGATTTACAGGGATTCTTTTAAGATGGAGAAAATTCTAAGCAGTTTCTAAGATGAAAGGAATGGGCCAAAGCATGGAGGTCAAAGATACAAAGAACAAGAGGAAATAACTAAAGGGGCAATGTCCCAAAGAGTCAGGAAAGGCTGGAACAGAAAGCTACAGTGTGGTCTGTGTGACAGGGGGGACACCTCTGAGGGAAGCAGAGTCTGTTCCAGAGCTGAGCCCAGAGTTTGCTGAAGAGAGAGGTCAGGATGGGCTCAGATATAGGCACCCTCATGGGGTAGAGAAAAAGAAGAAGGAAGGTAAGGAAATCCACATCTCGTTGCTTCCATTTTCCCTGCATATGAAGGAAGGTCATTTTGGGGTTAAAGTGCAGAGGAATGGGGTAGAGCTGGGGACTTGATAGCAACATTGAATGTGTACGAATTCTGGGGAAATGGTTGGAAAGGTGGCATTAACCAGAAATCTGTAGGTTCCCAGCATGGTTGAGAGTAAAGTGGAAGCTGATTAGTGAATTAGCACCAATCTATGTGTTGAGTGGTCTGTTGACAAGAGGGCAGAAGATAACCTGTGGGCTCAATCATATCTGCATGCAGATCCAGAGCAGGGGAAGGAAAAGGAACAAGATTGCAGAGGATTTAAAAAGTGATATATCAAAGTGGGGCGTGATGGTGCATGCCTGTAATCCCAGCAACTTGGGAAGCTGACAGGAGGATCACAAGTTCAAAGCCAGCCTCGGCAACTTAGCAAGGCCCAAAGCAACTCAGTCCCCAAAGAATCTAAAAGATTTGGAATGGCTAAATTGATTCAGGTCACACACACATTCCAGATAATAGGGAATTTGACACAGAACAGAGGCAAAGAGAACCCTTAGAAGATGATAAAGGGACATTCCAGAATGACAGTTATGCTGCAGGCCAAGAGAGCTAACAGTTCAGAGGGTAGAAAGAGAGATCTGGGGGCTGAAGCAAGAGGACCATAAGTTTGAGGCCAGCCTAGGCAATTTAGGGACACCCTGTCTCAAAAGTTAAAAATTAAAGCCAGGTGTGGTGGCGCTGTAATCCCAGCAGCTCAGGAGGCTGAGGCAGAAGGATCACAAGTTCAAAACCAGCCTCAGCAACTTAGTGAGATTCTGAGCAACTTAGTAAGACCTTGTCTCAAAAAAATAAATAAATAAAAATGAAAAGGGGGGCTGGGGATGTGGCTCAAGCGGTAGCGCGCTCACCTGGCATGCATGCGGCCTGGGTTCGATCCTCAGCACCACATACAAACAAAGATGTTGTGTCCGCCGAAAACTAAAAAATAAATATTAAAATTCTCTCTCTCTCTCTCTCTAGAAAAAAAAAAAAGAAAAAAAATCCTCTCTCCCCCTGGGTTGCAGAGATGCTCAGGGTATCTTAGCCACAAACCATACAACTTAAAAAAAAAAAAAAAAAAAAAGGGCTGGGGATGTAGCTCAGTGGTAGAGCACCACTGGGTTCAATTCCTAGTACTAGAAAGAAAGGAAAGAAGAAGAAAGGAAGGAAAGAAGGGAGGGAGGGAGGGAGGAAAAAGAAAAGAATGAGGGATCTGGAAACAAAGTCTCCAAGAAGAGAATACTGATTTAGAGACAAGTGTATAGAAAACTAAAAGGAAAGAAAAGGCAATCATCAACCCCAGGGAAAACAAGAAGTTGTTTAAAATTGGAAAAGCAATTAAAATATGCGACATGTCTTCCTTGTGATTAGTACCTTCGTCCTCATCACACTGTAAATCCCACCTTCCCTTTGTGGTGAGCATACTTGATTCCACTTTCTCCATGTCTTCTCACAAGACTTTCAGGATCAAGTGGTTCCTGGTCAAGAAACAAAACCAAAATCATCCCCAGTGTATTTGGATAAAAATCAAGTACAACTCCAAGAGGAGACATTGGTGGAGAATGGAGCGGGGTCTCCAAGGAATTTACACATGAGACAGTATACACATTTGCTGTATCAAGGTCACAATCATCCTACCACATCAAGCTGAAAATGTCACCATAGTCTGGAAAGCTGGGCATGTTTCATTAGAAATCTGACTTTTCTATTTCTGTGATCTTCAGTAACAGGTTCAGTTGGTTCAGTAATAAATATGTGAAAAAAAATTTTTTAAATCATATAGACCTTAAATATTAATGGAGGGAGGGGAAGTTAGTATAAAAGTCTTCCCGTACTGAAAAATGGATAGGTAATGTCAAAACTGGAAACTCAAGAAATAATGACATAACACCTCTCCTTGGCAATAGAAAGGAAGCTATCAGAACAGCTACAACAGTATACTGAGTCGGGAGTGGTGGTGCATGCCTGTAAACCTAGCGCCTCAGGAGGCTGAGGCAGAAGGATTGCAAATTCAAAGCCTGCCTCAGCAATGTAGCAAGGCCATAAGCAACTCAGCAAGACCCATCTCTAAATAAAATATAAAAAGGAGCTGGGAATGTGGCTCAGTGGTTAAGCACCCCAGGTTCAAATTTTTTTTTGTGGAGGGATACTGGGGATTGAACTCAGAGGCACTTGACCACTAAGCCACATCCCTAGCCCTATTTTGTATTTTTATTAGAGACAGGGTCTCACTGAGTTGCTTAGTTCCTTGCTAAATTGCTGAGGCTGGCTTTGAACTTGTGATTCTCCTGCCTCTGCCTTCCAAGCCACCGGGATTACAGGTGTGTGCCACTGCGCCCAGCTAAGCACCCCAGGTTCAATCCCCAGTACTAAAAAAATGAGTGACGTAAACAGAAGGGGAGGGTTGGAGGACTTCTGTTTTTCTAGAATTTTAGAGAATTGTTTGATTTTTTTTTGAACAATGTATGTGTTTTACTTTAACAAAGATGAAAATTAAATGAAAAAAATTGGAATGGGATCTATAGGGGTGAAGTTGAGCATGATAACAGTGATTCCCCCACTCCATAGACTGAGCAGCCTGGTAGACCTCTTCCCAACCTTAGCTTAGTAAGAACCATGTGACTTCTAAGACAGGATAGAACATGAAGTATTCATTTATGGCCGCTAGTAACTGAGCCATTGAAGAGCATGTTCACACTTCAACCCCCACAAATGGCCTGCTAATAACAAGAATGGCAGATTCCTCAGCCTATCATTTCAAAGAAGTTCTGTTCTTTGGTGGACAGGAGACAGAAATGTCTGGGGAGTGTGCACAAACTTGGAGAACTGGTTTCCACCCTGTGAGAGAGTGTGTGTGTGTGTGTGTGTGTGTGTGTGTGTGTATATACTCATCCTTTTATCTACATAAAAGAGCTTTGTGCTGGGGAACAGAGAGACAGAGGTACAGAGGAAGAACAGAGTGAGAAGTGCTGGAAGGTCCCTCCTTCCCAACATGAGCTCTGGAGCAAGAAGAAAAGACAAGGGACAAAGAAATTTTCCATAGGAGAGGGACGGGGTATTTAAGAGAAAGGAAGACTTAAAGGTTCAGTTTCCCAGCTGCAGCTGCTCAGATAGGTCTTGCTCCTCTGATAAGAGGAATGGAACATGGTGCCTATAGACATGAACGCACCTGTTTTTTTCTCAGGCCCATATGTGGCCAGGAGGGCTTCTCTGAACTCCTAGTGAGCCACAAGTTAGAGCCAAGATGGCCTGGGTAGGAGAGTGCCAACCACCCACTGGAGGAATGAACTTGGTCTGTCCCCAAGAGTAAGGAAGAAAGGGACAGGCCTGTCCCCTTAAAGTGAGGCAAGGACAAGACTGGGTTCCATGGGGTGAAACAGAATGTGCTGCTGACCACAGATCATGATGGTCACGTCTGGAGAGCACCACAGGCCACGGGACATCAGTAGCTGACAAAAAACAGCATGGGTCCCCAAGACATGGAAGACCTAAAAAAGGACCCACTTTTCCCTCCTCAAGGGGACTATGCTTATGGGTAAATTCTGAGATTATACCTGACCAGGAGGAGTACCCAGGACATGGGGTTCTGAACTCTAATTCAATAGTCATCCCAAATTACCAGCATTCCACTTTTGCCCACTTGAGTTTTGTAAGTAGCTGTAACTATTTACTATTTCTGAATATACTTATTAATATCCTTTGACTTCAGAGGCCACAGAGGCCTGAAAACCTTGTTGTCACAATACTTGGAACAACTGTTCGTTGTTAATTGTTTTTGACCAGGGCCATGTACTTTAAACCCAGAACCTCATTTATTTTTTTTTTTTTAAGAGAGAGAGAGAGACAGAGAGAGAGAGAGAATTTTTAATATTTATTTTTCAGTTCTCGGCGGACACAACATCTTTGTTTGTATGTGGTGCTGAGGATCGAACCCGGGCAGCACGCATGCCAGGCGAGCGCGCTACCACTTGAGCCACATCCCCAGCCCCCCAGAACCTCATTTAATCCTTATACAACTAGTGACAAAGCCCCAACGAAGTCCTTGCTTTACAGGCCAAGGAGCTGGGATTTAAACAGGTGAAATAACTTGACCAAAGTGGTAGTAAGCAGCTGAGCCAAAGTTCAGGCTCAGTCTGTGCTGATTCCCAAACTTCTGCTGACTGAGGAATGATGCGTACAAACTGCTCAGCCACAAAGCTCGGTTTTCTGGAAAACAGCTAGTGTCGGTGAAAGAAAGCACACATGCCCTTTCTGGGGTCTGTTAGCACTCCAGAAAGGTGTTGTTGGAGCCAGGCAGGCCCGGCCAGTGACGCGAGCCAGGCGAAAGCCCTGGCGCTCCAACCTGTTGACAGTAGCAGCGGCACGTATTGAACCAGAACCCAAGAAGCCTTCAACCTGGAGGCATGCTTTTTCCAAACCATGATTTTGAAACAGTTGAGAAATTTCTTCACTTTGGAATGTGTTCAATAAATTTCTGTGAAGTGAGGTATTCAGCTCAACTTCCTTTAAACGTGGGCCAAAGAGCTGTCATCTTAGATCACAAGAAATCATAACATTAACAGCTCTCTGTTCTGGCAAGATGCATCAAGCCCTGTGCCTGCCCTATTAAATTCTTCCACATCTGTCTTCTTCTCTGTCCCATCTTGGATCCCCACATTGGCTGACATCTTTTCCACATCCATCCAAGCACTGCAAGGGCCTACATCTGCTCAGCAGGGGAGGGCTGACCCCTACCCTGGGTTGGGAAGCAGGCTCAGTACTGGGGACCAGAGATGAAGAAACCGTGGTTTCTGCCCTCAAAGAGCTTCCTAAGATAGCTCCCAGATTGAGAAAAAAAAAAAATAAGAACTTGTGCACAGATTGCTACGCCCCTTCTCAAATCCCCTTCTTCCCTAGTAACCAGAACCCAGTTCTCTCTGGCTGCCTAGTTAAACCACATTTCCCAGTTATCCCTAATCCTTCAAACTGATGATAACCAATGATTATCAATATTTGGTACTTGTTGTTAGCCTCCTTAGCATTGAGTGCACATCCTAGATTTTGTTTTTGTGTGTGAGTGTTCCCCAAGGGGCTTTTTTTTTTTTTTTAGTGGTAGTTGAACGCAACATCTTTATTTTATTTATTTATGTTCATGTGGTGTTGAGGATCGAACCCAGAGCCTTGCACGTTCAAGGCGAGTGCTCTATCACTGAGCCACAACCCCACCCCCACCCCCAGGGGCTTTAAACAAAAATTTATTTTTATTGCTTACAGTTGTGGGACCTGGCTGGGCACAACTGGATCATTCCCACTTAGGTCCTTGCATGATGTGGCAGTTATCTAACTATCAGGACTGCAGTCAGCTGAAGGCTTGACTGGGCTAGATGTTCGAGATGGTTCATTCAGATGGCTCACAGTTTGTGCTGCTGTTGGCTGGTTATCAACCAGCGTGCTTATAATTGGTCTCTCCATGTACAATTGGTGTTCTCACAGAATTATGGATGGATTCCAGAACAAGCACTCAAGAGGACCATTGAAAAGTTTATGACAGCCAAAAGGCCTTGGACAAGAGTGCAATGGCATACACCTGTAATTCTAGCTACTTGGGAGGCTAAGACATGAGGATCACAAGTTCAAGGCCAGTTTAGGCAATTTAGCAACACCTTATACCAAAATAAAAAGGTCCCAGGATGTAGCTCAGTGGTAGAGTGCCTCTGGGTTCATTCCCTACACATACAACCTAGAACTTCACTTCCACCACATACCATTGGTTAAGCAAGTCACTAAGGCCATCCTGGAGAGGGGAATTAGATACCATATCTCAAGTTAGAAGCAGGGAGATAAGGAGTTGATGACAGTCCTCTCTGATGACTATCTTACCACACCATATAACTGTGGGGATCTGTAGTTATAATTGGTCCCAAGTCAAAATAGGTGTCCATCTGCATTTCTTCATCCATAAATCAGAGCTTCAGGGAGAAAATGGAGGACTCAATGTCATTTTGGCATTAACCTAGTGGTGGGAGAGATATTCAAATGCTGAGAAGTCCACCAAAATCTGAATGCCTCAATGCTTCTGAGCCAAGAGCTTTCCAGACAGGATTAAAGAGTCTGTGAACATCCAATAGCTTTGAATTGGAGATAAAAGTAACTGCTCATCTCTGTTTCTTCTGAAACCACTCACCACCCATCTTCACCCACCTCATGTGGAGGTTAAGTCAAGGCTGGAGCAGAACTAAAATTGGAAAAGGATTGCCTAGAGCTAAATTTGGAGAAAGGCTTTCCTTAGCCCCTTAGCTACCTGCTGGAGTTGGGCTTAGGGCCCAGCATGACCCTTCTCCTGTATCACCTTTGGCTGCAAGAAGAGCAGAGCAGAACATTCCCTCCGAACTTCTACTAATCACACTGGCCTTTGAACCCTCTGGTAGACTAAATAATAGCTCCCCCAAGGCGTCTGTGTCCTAATCCCCCCAAATGGTGAATCTGTTATGTTTCATGGCAGAGGGGAATTCAGTGTGCTGACGGCGTTAAGGTTGCTAATCAATAGACTTTAAGACAGGGAGATTGCTCTGGATTACTGAGCAGGCCCAATAAAATAAAAAACTTTCCTCAAATG